CCCCAGCCCACCCCCACCCCAGCCTGGCCCTGGGGACGGGTCTCTGTCCAGGCCATCCCATCCGAGCCCCAGACCCAGAGCTCCGGCCCCACTCATGGGTGACCTGGCAGCACGGCCTCACCTGGATGAACAGCCAGGAGGTGACCAGCGCCAAGCTGCTGTACTGCCCGTTGAAGCGGTAGTGGTAGGCATAGAAGGCAAAGTGGTACAGGTAGAAGAACCTGCGGGGCGGGCGGTGGTAAGGGGTGGCGAGCCTGCCCTGGGGACGGCCCCTCAGCGGCCCCAGGTGACCGTACTCACCGCAGCCAATGCCGCTTGCTGGTGCTGGTGTGACAGCAGATGGCGTCGTACTGGTCCGCCAGCCAGACGATGAGAATGATGTAGAAGGCCGTGGTGGTGTCGTTGAAGAACTCAGACATGATGGCCTCCATGCCTGCGGGGACACGGGCGCCGGGTTGGGGCGGGCAGGTGGGCGGGGGCCGGGCGGGACTGGGGGCGGTCCTCACCGACGAGGGCCAGGATGACGGTCAGCAGGGGCGCTGCCGGGAAGGCGATGGCCATATTCATCTCCAGCATCTGCAGCAGGTCCACTGCGGGCACAGGTGGGGGGCCAGGTGAGGGCGGCGGGCAGAGGTGGGGGGCCGGGTGAGGGCGGCCGGCAGAGGTGGGGGGTCGGGTGCGGTCAGCAGGGGCGCTGCCGGGAAGGCGATGGCCATATTCATCTCCAGCATCTGCAGCAGGTCCACTGCGGGCAGAGGTGGGGGGCCAGGTGAGGGCGGCGGGCAGAGGTGGGGGGCCGGGTGAGGGCGGCCGGCAGAGGTGGGGGGCCGGGTGAGGGCGGCCGGCAGAGGTGGGGGGTCGGGTGAGGGCAGCAGGCATGCAGGCGGCCGGGTGAGGGCGGCGGGTGATGGGCAGATGTCACAGAGCCGAGCCCCCTTCCCCCCTGCCCCCACCTCCACCGCGTACCCAGCGGGCCTCACCAATGAAGACGAAGATCTGGTGGTGTGAGTAGCGCAGCAGCATGGACACGCTCAAGGTCTGCACAGGGGACACACGGCCGTGGGGCACATGGGGGACACGCGGGGGACACACGGCCATGGGGCACATGGAGCTGGGGCTCGTAAGACCACGGGGGGGACTGAGCGGGACCTCTCTCTGCCCCCCAGATGGCTCTGCTGCTGGGATGGGTACTGCCCGCAGCATGACATCAACCCCACCCAGCCCCTGGGGACTGTGGCTCACCGCCACCAGCTCCCCCTTCCTGGCCTGGCCCCAGTCCGGCGCCCAGCCCCCCGTCCCCGTCCCATCACGCCCCCCTCAGCCCCCGCACTCACAAAGATGACCATGATGACAAAGGCAGCCAGGTAGGAGGTGCGTGCCATCCACATGCTGACGAAGCGGTAGTGCTCGCCCGAGACCACGTTCCGCAGGAAGCCTGGGGGGTGGGGGGCGGCGTCACCCGTGTGCCCCCTGGCTGGCACCGCCTCCCCCACCCCAGGCGGGCAGTACCCTTGTTCTCCTCGTTCTCTGCCAGGCCCTTCACACTGGACATGAGAATGTCGTCATAACCCAGGAACTCGTCCAGCAGCAGGCGGCTGAAGCGGTCCCCAAAGCACTGGTCCCGCGTTGGGTCTGGGGGAGCGCAGGGCGGGTGGTCAGCTGTGTCCCCCACCCATGCTCCCCCGGTCCGCCCAAGCCCCCGCCGGCAGCTCACTCACCCAGCGTGACGACCATGACGGGGATGCGGAGACGCTGCCGCGTGGCTTGTGACAGCCGCAGGAAGCCGTACTCCAGCGAGTACTCCACGATGTATTCGTCCTGCGGCCAGGCTGGGGCGAGGGGCGGCGGTCAGGGCCCTGGGCTCGACTCGCCCGGACAAGCTCCTGACTTCCCCTCGGGGCCCTGCGTTTCCCTGCCCGCTGGCCGGCCGCTCAGAAGGAGGCTTTGGGAGGGCGGGGAGCGGAGCCTGCCTGGGGTGGCCTGCACCCACAAAGGGAAAGGGCAGGGCAGGGGGTGGACAGCAGTGCCGGCTGACAGAGGGGCCGCAGGACAGAGGAGGGCTCTGGAGGGGGTGACATCTCCCACGCCCTCGCCTGCTGCTGAGACAGGAAACAGGGACGGGGGCCGACCCCACCCAGGGTTACTGTCCTGTGATGCCCAGCCCCTCCAACCAGGGGCGGTGAGGTCTGGGGGAGTGGGAAGGGGGCCTACCTTTGGTGGGTGTCTCAGGGAAAGGGAACTCCTGGCTGTCGTTGAGAGCGTCTGCACCGGCCGGCGGCTTGAACACCTTGGGCTCAATGTCCAGCTCAAACTGTGGGCCCCAGAGAAGCCGCATCAGTGTGCATGATGCTCAGGCCTCACCTGGAGGACAACGTGGCCCTGGACCCCCCCGACTGGAAGGACACACTCAGGCCTGGCTGCTGTGACACCCCCCCCCCCCACTGCCCACGTCCCAGCTGCACACAGCCCAGAGACCTCGCACAGCTGTCTGGGTTCTGGGCACCTCTGCCCATTCCTGAGCTCGCCCATGGGCCTCGCATCTAGGCCTGCCACGGCCTCAGGGTTCAGGGAGGGGCTGGACCAGCACCGAGGCCACAGGGCCTGGGCACCGACCAAAAGCTGTCCAATTCTTGGGGGCCTGGCTCTGTGCAGGCAACAGCCCTTGCCCTGGGACCTGGGCCCTCACTGACCCAGGCAGCACTTACATGCCCCCAGCGATGGGGTGCTCACCACCTGTATCAGCCACCACTCCACCTCAGGACGGGTCAGAGCGCCTGGCTTGGACCATCCAGAGGCTGCCTCCTCAAGCTCTTCTGTCCTTCACCCCAGAACCAGGCCGGTCGCTGTCACTCCACAACAGGGACCACCCCCAACTACAGGTCAGCCCTGCAGCGCCTCTGCTGTCCTCCCCACCCAGCCCTGCCCAAGGACACAGCCCCACAGGACCCTAACCTGGTGGGTACCAGGAGCTCACCCTCCGACGGGACAGGCCAGGGCAACGGGCCGACGCTCACCTGGACGGAGCTGTTCCCAAACATCTCCATGGTCAGCTCCTCCTCGTCCTCGTCCTCCGGCTCCAGGCCCCCCGCACCGGGCTCCATGGCCAGGCCGGGGAAGCTGCCGCGGGCGTCACCATCACAGAACTGCAGGAAGACGGGCGCGCGGCTGGAGTTGTGCTGGACCTCCACCCGAAGGACGCCCTCACGCGGCCACTGCTCACGCACGTGCTCCAGGCAGTTGATGGGTGAGCGGGAGAAGGCAACGTGGATGTAGGCCAGGACGGAGAGCACCAGCAGGGCCTGGTGGGGGGCACAGGATCAGCGGGGGCCACCGAGACCCACCACCCGGCCTGGAACCCAGGAGGACCCCCGACAATAGGGCCCAGGCTGGGAAGACACAGCACAGACAGCACCTGGCCGTCATCTGTCATTAGCTGAGTGACCAGGTAGAGCCAGAGGTGTGGGGCGCCCCAGCACAGCCCCACCCCACCAATGCCTACGGCCGAGCAAGTCCCACGTGGCACCCCTGCACCCCCACGTGGATACTAGGACAAGGCTGCAGTTTGGCGCTCTCTGGGGAACTGTGTGGGACCCCCACCCAGGGAGAGACCAGGCTGGGCTCGGGCCCCCACAACAGGTGAAACCCCCTAGCTGGGCACATCCACGCCTTTTAACATCTCCGGTCCTGCAGAAGCTCAGGCCAGGTGCCGCTGCCTCTTGGAAGCCCACTGGCCCAGGTGACCCTGCGGCTCCCTGACTCACTCCGGCTGGCCTCAGAGCACCCAATGGCACGAGATAAAAAGAAGCCTCCCTGTGGGTCCAGGCACCCTCTGCCCCCACCGCCCAGGCCTGCCGGCCAGCTGGAACCACCTAGGATACCAGGAACCTCCCAGCCTGGTCACACCCGTGGTTTTCTCCTCTGTAAAATGGGACAGCAGCCCCTCTCACCAAGTGACGCTGCCCCCAGGGGACACTGGTGATTTCTGGTGTGCTGCTCACACTGTGTCCTGTGTCCAGAGCCTGGCCCGGCCCACACGCAGATGCCAGCTGACACCCTCCCTGCTCACGCTGTGTCCTATGTCCAGAGCCCGGCCCGGCCCAGGTGCAGACGCCAGCTGACGCCCTCCCCGCTCACGCTGTGTCCTGTGTCCAGAGCCTGGCTCCGCCCGGCCCAGGTGCAGACGCCAGCTGACGCCCTCCCCGCTCACGCTGTGTCCTGTGTCCAGAGCCTGGCTCCGCCCGGCCCAGGTGCAGACGCCAGCTGACGCCCTCCCCGCTCACGCTGTGTCCTGTGTCCAGAGCCTGGCCCGGCCCGGCCCAAGTGCAGATGCCAGCTGACGCCCTCCCCGCTCACGCTGTGTCCTGTGTCCAGAGCCTGGCCCGGCCCGGCCCAGGTGCAGACGCCAGCTGACGCCCTCCCCGCTCATGCTGTGTCCTGTGTCCAGAGCCTGGCCCGGCCCGGCCCAGGTGCAGACGCCAGCTGACGCCCTCCCCCCCCCACAAGAAGCTGTCCCTGACGCTGCCAGCCCAAGCCACAGGGCAACCCGGATGCTCTGCCACCCACACAGGCCTTTCCCAGCCTGCCTCTCAGTGCCCACCGCTTCTGCTTACCGGGCGACCTCTCTGGCCCCGGTGCCGTGGAGACCAGTGGTGAGTGCAGGGCTGAGGCTGGAGGAGTCTTCTGGGACCCTCAACCACGGCTCCACCTCTCCCACCCTCCAGCAGTTGGCAATGGACGGCTGTTTGCTAAAAACTGCCCCAAAGCCCAGGCCCCCCAAGAAGACACGATGCAAACGGACCCCGTGAAGGAGGGTCACAACCGCGGCAGCAAGCGTGCCGGATGCCGGGAGGGCAGAGGCCGAGGCCAGCGCTTTCTGGAACCCAACACAGCTTTCGAGTCACGGGGTGTTGGGTAGGTTCTCAAGGAACAGCCAGCCTCCCGGCCCCACCAGTCCCTCATCCCAGCACCCCAGGTAAAAGGAGGTGGTGGGCTGAGAGATGGTGGTGGGCTCCCTGGCCTCCGGAGCACTTATTGGGCAGCAGGCGGGGCGCTTTCAGCCCTGGCGGATACAGCCACCTGAGATGACACTGATCAGCCCCCACCTCTGACACGCCCCACGTCAGGAAATGGTGCAGCCAGAGCCACATGTGTGCCTTCAGGGAGGCTGACCTGGGGGGAGGTTCAGTGCTCTCTGGCCATTGAGGCAGAAGGTCCTGCCTGGATCCTGGGCCACCCTCAGTGTCCACCCAGGGCTGGGGTTTTCCTCCCTAAGGAAACCACACACCCAGAGACGAGCCTCTGCCCACGAAGCCAGGCCGCCAGGAGCCCAGGCACTGGTCCTCCATGCCCAGCAAGTGGGCCTCCTGAGTGGACAGCACCGGTTGGCCTGGCGGTGGAAGGACACCCCTGACCACTCCTCAGTCACAGGAGTCCCGTCTCACTCACGAGGAATTGCAGTGCCTCCTCCCGGCAGGGACCCACACCCACGGCTATCAGCCCGCAAGGCCCGCCCAGCTGCTTCCACCAAACCCCAGAGCCGTGGCTCCCCACTGGAGTCAGCTGGGGACTCCGCCGGCCAGCCCTCAGCCGTTGGCATCGCCCCTTTCCAGCCGTTTTGCCACTTCCTCAGACAGGTCTAGTGACAGCCGAGACCCCCTGCTCAAACAGCACCCCTGGAACCCCAATCTGCACAGCTCAGTAACCTGGGCCTGCTCCAGGTCTTACAGGTCACAGCTCCTGCTGAGCAGGATCTGCCACCGAGTAAGCAGGCCTCCACGGGACCCAGGCCCTTCTGGGACCCGGGCCGTCGGGGGTCCCCTGAACCGCCTGGGTGGTGCCTTGGCAGCGGAGCCCTCTGTCAATGTGAGGGAGGACGGGGAGGGGTCCGAGCCTCAGACAGCAAGGAGGGACCCAAAGGAGCAGGACTCGAGGGCAAGGCATAACTCCGAACTAACTCTGGCGAGTGACCTCAGCTAAGGCTCCTGGGAGACAGCATAGGGTGGGGGGCAGGAGGAAGAGATGGAAGTGGGGCGTGGAGTCCAGGACAGACGGTGGGGGTGTGTGTGTCCTGATGGGCTAGGTTTATGACAGTCAGGACTGGCGTTTGGGGGCAGGGCAGGACGGGAGGTTGGGAGGGGCGTCCCCCCAGGCTGAGGACCCCAGGGGTCAGAGGGCAGGCAGGGGTCCCTATCAGGCCAGGGGCGGGGTGAGAATTCTGGAGTTGGGATCAGGGGGCTCCTAGTGGGGTGCGGCTTGGGCCTTCCAGGGTGGGAGTCTCAGACCAGGATGGGGTCCAGGAATTGGGGTCAGAGACTAGGGTCAGAGATCGCAGGCTCAGGGGAGGGTCTCGAATCCGTGGAGCCAGGGATCCAGGCCTCAGAGGAGAGGTTCGGCGCCTCGGCCAGGATCAGGGGTCGGGGTCACAGGTCGGCCGACGGGATCGGGGTCAGGGGTCGGGAGTCGGGACAGTGGTCACCTTGAGCAACACGAAGAACTCGAACAGGCGGCGGAAGGCGGGTGGGAAGAGCCGCGAGTAGGTCACTGCCATCTTGAAGAAAAGCGCGTGGAAAAGCCGGTCGCGCACGTTGATGAGAGGATTGGGGTTCAGGTTGGGGGTGCGAGGCCCGCGCGCGGGGGCCGGGCCGCCACCACCGCCGTTGGGCCCGGGCCCTGGGGCCACGGGCGCCGCGTGCTCTGACATGCCGCCCAGGGTCGCGCCCTAACGGTCCGAGGGTCCCCGAGGGCGCGCCCCGGCAGCCATTGGCCTCTCGCCGTCGCCGCGATCCTCACGGCCGCCCGGCTGTCGCCGCCATCTTCCGCCTCCTCGTCCGGCCGCGGCCCTGCTGATGCCAGCGAGTCGCCGCGCCGGGCAAGAGCGCTCCCTGCGACCGCGGGGAACGCTGGGATGCCGGCGGACGGCCCGCGGCGACCCGCCCCCTCGCTGGGCGCACGGCTCCGCGGCGCCGGGGGCGGGGCTGCATCAGAGCCGGGTCTTTTGCATATTGCTCCCCATAAGGCTCCGCGGCTGTTGACTACTCTTCGGAGGTAAAATGAGTTAACAACTGAGGATTTTAGACGTGGTAAAAGACACTCAAAGTAAGCTGAACTGAGAAAGATTTTTTTAAGATACAGCTGTGGACTATTATGCTTAAAATATATGCTATATTTAGGAGGCCTAACTGTAAAGTACTTTATATGTTTGCGTATAAATATGGTTCCTAAGACGCTAATGTTCGTGCTTGCTTCGGCAGCACATATACTAAAATTGGAACGATACAGAGAAGATTAGCATGGCCCCTGCGCAAGGATGACACGCAAATTCGTGAAGCGTTCCATATTTTTTCTAGTGCGGCGACACAGCGCCAGAGTGGACTCGGCCTGTCAGTCCCTTGAAGTCACAAGCCCAGGTATGTCCCCCCTTCTCCCGTGACCTCGGAGGTCCAGCCGCTGCCGGCGGCGCGAAACAGTGCGCGGCAGAAGCATTTATCGAACACCTGTTGGGTGCACGGATTCAAGAACTCCCAGATAAGGGGGCCCTCTGGCAACTTTCTTAGTTTTTCCCTCTGTGAGTCGGGCTACGTCAGCGTCCATCTCTTCCCTGCGTGCAGTCAGACCCTGGCTCCCCAGACCCCCGGCCCGGCCAGGCGGGACTTCGGTGTGCCCCGCGGCAAACGGTGTGCACCTGGCGCCTGCAAAGTGCTCCAACCCCAGGAAGGAGTTGTTAGAGCTGCAGACACGCGCCCCTCTTGGCTGCCGCGGATCTGGGACGTGTGCCTGCCCCTCCACCACGCCTCCTGGACCCCTGACCGCGCCATGCAGCCTTGGACGGTCCACGCGGTCCCGGGCTCGGCGCCTGGGTGCCTCCTAGCAGCCGAATAAATTATTGCGCCAAGTAAATAACGAGCGCCTGTGTGTTCATAAAAACCAAGAAAACCAAACCCGTTGCCGTCAAGTTGATTCCGACTGGTAGCCACCCGATAGAACAGAGTAGAACTGTCCCCATGGGGTTTCCAGTGTGCGCCTGAAGGATTGGAACTGCCAACCTTTTGGTTAGCAGCCATAGCTCTTAACCACTATGCCATCAGTGTTTCCAGGTGTTCATAAAGAAAACAAAAATCCTCACAACTGGACCAATAAGCAACATCATGTTAAATGGAGAAAAGATTGACGTTGTCAAGGATTTCATTTTACTTGGATTCACAATCACCCATGGAAGCAGCAGTCAAGAAGTCAAACAGTGCATTGCATTTGGGTAAATCTTCTGCAAAAGACCTCTTTAAAGTGTTAAAAAGCAAACATGTCACTTTGAGGACTAAGGTGCTCCTGACCCAAGCCATGGTGTTTTCAGTCGCCTCATATGCATGCGAAAGCTGGATAATGAATAAGGAAGACTGGGAGAAGAATTGATGCCTTTGAATTATAGTGTTGGCGAAGAATATTGAATATACAATGGACTGCCAAAAGAACGAACAAATCTGTCTTGGAAGAAATACAGCCAGAGTGCTCTTTGGAAGTGAGGATGGCGAGACTTTGTCTTATGTACTTTGGACATGTTATCAGGAGGGATCAGTCCCTGGAGAACGACATCATGCTTGGCAAAGTAGAGGGTCAGCAAAAAAGAGCAAGACCCTCAACAGGATGGACTGACACAGTGGCTGCGACAAAGGGCTCAAACATAACCATCTATGATTGTGAGGATGGTGCAGGACCAGGCAGTGAGTCGGAACCCACTCAACGGCACCTAACAACACCACCGTTCGAGGAGCCCTGGTGGCCAGTGGTTAAGAGCTTGGCTACTAACCAAGAGATCGGTGGTTGAAACCCACCAGCCACTCTGCAGGAGAAAGATGCAGCAGTTCACTTCAGTAAAGATTTACAGCCTTGGAAACCCTATGGGGCAGTTCTACTCTGTCTTACAGGGTCGCAGTGAGTCAGAATCCACTCAACGGCAACGAACTTGTGTCCGGTGCTTGGCTCCTCACACACCCCAAAGCAAGGCAGGTTTGGCCACAGCAGGAAGCCTGGAAGGTCAGGGCAAGGAGGACAGGCTGACAGAAGGGAGGACGCTTTAGTGCACAGCTGGACACCGGGTTAGGCACCCAAGCCTCACAGAAGCACTGAAAGGGTTCCGGGCAAGGAGTTTTCAGCGTCCCAGGGCCGGTGCTGGGCTCTGGGGACACAGCAGTGGCTGTGGGCTCAGGGACCAGCAGGGAGACAAACAGGCAAGCTGATGTCTGGCTCCTGACAGTGAGCATCACGCTGTGATGGACACAGAGGCCTCAGAGAGGTGGGGACACAGGGACCTGGGGGGTCAGGGAGGGAGGAGACTTTCCAGCTGTGGCCTGGAGGTTGGAGAGAACATTGTAGACCTAGCTGCTGGGTTTTCGTAGTCCCCTGTACCTCCTGACTGGACACAGATGGACAGATGGACCGACGGGGCTCCTCCCCTACCAAGACCAGCAGGCCAAAGCAATTCTCTTCCTGTTAACAAGGAGAGGCCATTGCACAGAGACTGCCATACAGTAGGCACTCAATAAGCACTCAGCTACTAACTGAAAGGTTAGCAATTCAAATCCACCCAGAGGCACTTCAGAAGAAAGGCCTGGCAATCTACCTTCAAAAAACCAGCCATTGAAAACCTGTGGAGCTCAGTTCTACTCTGATACGCATGGGGTCGCCATGAGTCAACTGGAAAGAACCTGGTTTTATTTTGTTTTTCTGCTTGAAATTGTTATGATTCACCCCCAGTTTACTTGCTAATTGTAAAGGGAGAAGAAATTGTCTTTCCCGATGGAGAGAACTTGCGGGCATCCCCTTGACGAGGACAGCAAGGCCAGCCTCACCGTGGGGCACTGGGGGCTTGGGTGTGAGGCAGACGGAAGCTGACAGGCTTCTGGGGAAGGCCAGTCAAGCCCCACCCAGTGCTGATGAACTCGGTGGCCACACGGGGCTCCCGAGCCTGCAAAATGGGGCAGTGTGACTGAAGAGCTAAATTTTTAACGTAATTTTTTTTCTAATTTAATTCAAGTTTTAATAGCCGTGTAAGAGCCCTGGTGGTGCAGTGGTTAAGCACTCAGCTGCTAACCAAAAGGTCGGTGGTTGAAGCCCACCAGCCGATCCTAGGGAGAAAGATGTGGCAGTCTGCTTCCGTAAAGATTTCAGCTTTGGAAACCCTATGGGGCAGTTCTACTCTGTCCTTGTCATGGATTGATTGTGTCCCCCAAAAATGTGTGTCAGCTTGTCTAGACCATGGATATTGTGTGATTGTCCACCATTTTTTCATCTGATGTGATTATCTTTTGTGTGGTAAGTCCTACCTCTATGATGTTATGAGGCTGGATTAGCAGCAGTTATGTTAATGAGGCAAGATTTAATCTACAAGATTAGGTTGTGTCTTAAGCCAATCTCTTTTGAGATATAAAAGAGAGAAGGGAGCAGAGAGACAGGGGGACCTCATACCACCAAGAAAGCAGCACCAGGAGCAGAGCGCCTCCTTTGGACCTGGGGTCCCTGTGCCTGAGAAGCTCCTAGTCCAGGGGAAGATTGATGATAAGGACCTCTCTCCAGAGCTGACAGACAGAGAAAGCCTTCCTCTGGAGCTGGAGCCCTGAATTTGAACTTCTAGCCTCCTAAACGGTGAGAGAGTAAACTTATCTTTGTTAAAGTCATCCACTTGTGGTATTTCTGTATTTCTGTTATAACAGGACTAGATATGGACTCCAGGGCAGTGGATTTAAATAGCCGTACGGGGCAAGAGGCTGCTGTATCAGAAGGCATAGCTGTCAACCTCACTTCCACTTACTGGGAACACAGGGCCTCTAAGAACAAGTTAAACTTCACCACAGGCCCAGACTGTGCACCCAACACCCTCAGAAAGTCACCGTTAATTGCAAGCAGGGAGGCAAACAGATGCTTGTCCACCAACGTTCATAGCTGCGCTATTTACCGGTGCCAAAAGGTGAAAACGACGCAAGCGTCCATCCAGATGGCCGGTAAACACAATGTGGTCCGTCCACACAGCGGAGTATTTGCTGAGCCATGGGAAGGAGTGCAGCTCTCATACACGCTATGGTGGGGATGAACCTCGAAAACGTGATGCCCAGTGAGAGAAGCCAGACACAAAAGGCCCCATTTTCTACTATCTGCTGATATGAAATGTCCAGAACAGGCAAATCCAGAGACAGGAAGTACATTAGTGGTTGCCAGGGGCTGGGGAAGCGGGGTGGGGAGGGATAGCTCATGAGTACAGGGATTCTTTCTGGGGTGATGGAATGTTCTGGAATTAGTGGCAATTAGTTGCACAACTCTATGAATATACTTAATGTCACTGAATTGTACACTTAAAAAGTGGTAAGTCAGGGAGAAACCCTGAGAGTACGGCCCCCAGACACCCTTTTAGCTCAGTGGTGAAGTCACTTCCGAAGTTCACCGTTCAGGTGGGGATTGGACAGCCTCATAAAACAAAATGGGACTAATGAGGCACAGCAGCCCAGGGACAAGGACTAGAAGGCAGAAGGGGACAGGAAAGCTGGTGATAGGGGACCCAGGGTTGAGAAGGGACAGTGCTGACATGTCGTGGGGTTGTTAACCATTGTCATAGGGCAATATGTGTGCTAACTGTTTAATGAGAAGCTATTTGCTCTGCAAACCCTCATCTAAGGTACAAAAAAAAAAAAAAAAAATTATCTATGTGAGATCAAATTGACAACAGCGACTCAAAAGGTTTGATGGGAAGCCTGGGGGCAGTGAATTGAAGATAATGGTGACGGGATAATTTGGAAAAGGAAAGTGAGAATCGCAGCACAACTGGAAGAATGTAATCGACGTCACTGAATTGTACATGTAGAAACTTTCGAAACGGTGTAACTTTAGCTATGTATATTTGCACCAAAAAAAAAGGTCCTCCAAGGTCGAGAAGGGACAGTGTTGACATGTCATGGGGTTGTTAACCAACGTCGTAAAACGATATGCGTACTGTTTAATGAGAAACTATTTGTTCTGTAAACCTTTGTCTAAAGTACAATAAAAAAAAAAAAAAAAGAAGCAGTTAGTCAGAAGAACTAGATGGTGCCCAGCTACCATCAGTGACCGCCCTGACGGGGAACACAACAGAGAGTCCCGGACGGAGCAGGAGAAGAGTGTGAAGCAGAACTGAAATTCACTTAAAAATACCAGACTTAATGGTCTGACAGAGATTGGAGGAATCCCCAAAACTATGGCCCCTGGACGCTCTGTTAACCCAGAACTGAAACCATTCTCGAAGCCCACTCTTCAAAGCTTAGACAGGACTACAAAACAGAAAATAATAGACGTGAGGGGTGTGCTTCTTGGTTCAGTCAGATACGCGAGCCCAAACGGGCGGCTCCTGTCCAGAGGTGGGATGAGAAGGCAGGAAGGGACAGGAGACGGTCGAATGCACGCGGAGAACCCAGGGTGGAAAGGGGGAGGGTGGTGTCACAT